GTGTGTGTGTATCTGTTTACAAGTTGCTACCAGTGTTCATTCTGACTGTCTCTCTTTGTTCCAGTCTGTCCCCGGCGGCCCTCGGCTGACTCCAGACGCGCCTCCTCGTCTCGTCTCGCTCGTCTCGCCCGAGGAAGGAGGCTGGCTGCTTGCGCCGCTTTCCTCTCTCGCCTTCGTGCTTGCGGACTCGACTGGCTTCGGCTCGGTTGCTCACCTCTTCTCACCCTCATCGGCAGAGGTCTTGTGATTTCCTGAAGGAAGGAATCGCAGCCGGAAGTCACAAAGGCAGAAATCTATTCGGGTGGCGTGGGGAGAGCAAGCGGGAGTCCCCAGTGCCACTCCCTCCGAGAGGACGGATCCTGACGGCGCTCCGCAGGCAGGCGCTCGCTCGCATCCCCGGCCTGAGGCGTCGCAGGAAGGCCAGTTGCTGGAGCCATGGAGGGCGGCCTGCGAGGCTGGGTCGAGAGGAACAGCGTCCCCGTGAGGAGAGAGAGCGGGTTCACGGTCCGCGAGCTGAGGACGAGGACCGTGCTGGACGACCCGACGAACAAGGTGCGGGTCCTGGGCGTGGGCCCCGAGAACGGCGGCGAGGTGAAGAAGGTGCTCCTGCTGGGAGAGACCGGCCAACTGTGCAAGAACGCCCTGGTCAACAGGGTGTTCGGCGTCGGGCTGCGCGACGACGTGCGCCTTCAGCTGCGCGACCAGATGGACGAGGCCGGCAAGAGCTCGACGCAGAGCCAGACGGAGTACACGACGGCGTACGTGATCTACCGGCAGGAGGGCATGCCGCGCGGCCACAACTTGATGGTGATCGACACGGCGGGCGTGGGCGACACGGGCGGGCGCCTGCGGGAGGAGAGCAACGAGCGGCAGTTCCGGCGGTGCTTGGCCGAGCACGCCTGGGTCCGGGAGCTGAGCAGCGTCGGGCTGGTGTGGAAGGCCAGCGACCACAGGTACGACCAGAGGAAGAAGGACGTCCTGGGCAGGCTGAAGGGCCTCTTGGGCTACGACGCGAAGCCAATAACGGACATTCTGGTGACGTTCTCCACCAACGGGTCTCGAGACGCCTTCGACATCATGAGAGAAGCAGGCGTTGGCTTCCACGGGGAGTTCCTCTTCGACAACGGACCTCTGTACAAGGGTTGGCCCCAGGATGCGATGCGGAGGAGGAAGCTGGAGATGGAGTGGGAGATGATGGAGGAGAGCCTGGATGGGTTCCTGGAGGCTGTGAGTGAGAGGAGGGCTGTTGAGCTGACGGCAACAGTGGGGCTGATTCGGTCGCAGTTCGAACTGGAGGACACCAACGCGGAGCTGCAGGCCCTGTGGGAGCAGGAGGACGAGCTGCGGCAGACCATTCGAGAGCACGAAAGGAAGCTGTGCAGACTCGACGGCAAAGAGAACGAGGTGGACTGGGACGAAGTGCGGGCGCTGGACAGCAGCAGGGAAGAGCTCGTGTTGGAGAACGGACAGCACTGCCACTACTGCCCCGAGTGCGACAAGGTGTGTGTCCCTTCGTGCTCGAAGGACCCTGACGGAGAACGGATCACTGAGGTTGTTACAGGTGTGATATCAATTGGGATATTTGGTATTACGCGTGCATTGGGTTTGCCCCAACCCCTCTCTTGCTCAGAATGTGACCATCTTCCCGTTATCCACCACTTCAATCGCACAATCCTAGTCAAACACGCCACCCGGAGCCAGAAGGTAGAGTTGGCCAAGAAATCTCAGTACAAAAGAGTAATGCAACAGAAAGCTGACATTCGAGCCGATATTGGGGCCTACAACGCGCAATTAAAAGAGGTCGAGAAACAACACGCGAGAACTACGACGAAGTTCAAAGAGCTTGAACACCGAATCAGTCATTTGAAATCTGGAAACTGAAACTTGAAACCTTGGGAGATAATTAGTGTATAGTGATTATTTAGTATTGATATATCTAGTAGTTAATATGGAATGATCCGTAATAGAGCGGTTCATCCATGACGGCGACCCCATAGAGAAATGGGAGAAAGCTGAGAAGAAAAAGTAGCGAATAAGAATTTTATATATTACCTCAAATTCTTGGATTTTGCGGTAAAAGCAACATATACTCTCCCTCGGGCACATAATTCACAAATGACAAACATTATGTCTTCCTAGAACTACTTACTGGAAAAAATGGAAGGTGAACTGGAAAGTATAGCGTATGGAACGTAATGATATTGTGAAATAATCCGTTTTGTAAGCGACATTTTAAAAATAATTCGTATCACTCCAGTTCCATCGCATTACATGAGCTTGGAACCTTATTAAAATGGTAGCTTGTGTTTCTATTTAGCAATGTATGTTATTAGGTTAATGTTCGTCAATATTATTAGACGGGTAGCAAAAATGTTTAGTTCAGAGTTAAGGTTATTTTTTTCATCAGTATTTGCCCAAAATAATGGCAATAAACAAACTATTTTTCCAGATCTGTATAACCTGTGATTTTCAATTAAAATAAGATAGACTAGAATTTCAAGAGACCTTATTCTTTCCTTTTAATTCTGATGAATATACAGTTTTTGTTTATACATTTCTACTTGTTCATACATCTACACACCGACAGATTTGAATGAGCCCGTATCCCCTCGTTGCAATCGGCGCAAAGATTTTTTCTAAACCTCACCAAATTAACTTTTTGCTTAGCGTATATCTTTTCTGTAAGTTTAATAACCTTTTTTAAATTATTCATGGGGGAGGCGCAGCATCAGTCAGGGTCCCTCACTCTCTCTCTCTCTCTCTCTCTCTCTCCTCTCTCTTCTCTATATATATTATTATAATATATATATATATATATATATATATATATTTATATATATATATATATATATAATATATATATATATATATATATATATATATATATATATATATATATTATAATATATCGCTCCCCCCCCCTCTCTCTCTCCCTCTCTCTCTCTCTCTCTCTCTCTCTCTCTCTCTCTCTCTCTCTCTCTCTCTCTCTCTCTCTCTTCTCTTTCTCTTTCTCTTTCTCTTTCTCTTTCTCTCTCTCTCTCTCTCTCTCTCTCTCTCTCTCTCTCTCTCTCTCTCTCTCTCTCTTTCTCTCTCTCTTCTCTCTCTCTCTCTCTCTCTCTCTCTTTTCGATCTCTTCTTTCGATCTCTCTTTCGTTCTCTCTCTCTCTCTTCTCTCTCTCTCTCTCTCTCTCTCTCTCTCTCTCTCTCTCTCTCTCTCTCTCTCTCTCTCTCTCTCTCTCTCTCTCTCTCTCTCTCTCTCTCTCTCTCTCTCTCTCTCCTTGTTTGGACAATTACATGGTAGTGTAAAATAGTCTGCCAAGTGGAATTGAACACTGAATATATGTGCTACTATACCTTGTGAGCATTTGTTCTCTTCTTCTAATACCGTGTCTTATTTTTAAACTTTTTTTCTATGCACTTTGCTTTACTCATGTTTACTATTCAGTTCTCCATCCGTCGACCCCTCCCCACCTCACTCCTTCCCCGTTTGCATTGAATGGCCTTGCTGAAGGGAATTATTTTCTCTATTATTTCGTCTCTTGGCGGAATCGCTTGCACTGGCCACGGTCTCCCCGTCTCACTCGTGGGAAGTCCACATTTTTCGGCATTCGCAGACGTGCAGGAGGGAGGGCGTATTTGAAAGTGCGATTTGGGAAGGTCACTGCGAATCCAGCTCCTGAGATGGATTTGGAAGCATCGGTGTAAACATGAATGCTGGAGGAATGAATGGTGACGTGGTCAAGGAAATGGGTGTGAAGGATACAGGGGGGGGGGGGTATCTGATTTTGGTGAATCATGGAAAACAGAGGAGCAAATACAGGGGTGAAGTATAAGCCATGGAGGAATGGAATGGACAGAAAACGGGAGAGGTCGGAGGTGGAGAAAGGGGGAATGGGAGAGGAGGGTATCCATGCGTACGGAGAAAGGAGTAGGTAAACGTGGAGAAGAAGTAAAGATATGGAGCACAGCATCGGAGAGAGAGAAGGGCTCGACGTCGAGAGAGGGACGGCATGCCAGACTCAGTATACAGGCTCTCAACTGGAGAGGAGCGGAAGGCGCCTAGGGCTAAGCGGAGACCGCTGTGGTGGATTGTATCAAGGTGAGCAAGAAGAGAGGTTGAGGCAGAGGAGTAGATATGGCATCCATAATCTAGAGTGGAGAGGATCAAGGTAACATGAAGATGGAGGAGAGTTTTGCGATCTGTTTGTAAGATTCGGAGGCGGCGTTGAGCTTTTTCTTTAATGTACAAGATATGGTCTCGCCAGGACAGTTTGGAGTCAAATATAACGCCTAGGAATTTGCTAGAAGAACGGTATTGGAGTGGAGCGTTATATAAGAAGAGTGGGGGTTTGGGGACCGTACGTGAGCGAGAGAAAAGGATGGGGAAAGATTTAGAGGTAGAGAAGCGAAAGCCATGGTTGGTGGCCCAAGAAGTTACTTATGTTATTGCAGACTGAAGGAATTGACAAAGATCTGGTAGGGTTGTGCCAGATGCATAGATGGTTAAGTCATCAACATATAGTGATGCCCGGGCTCCTGGTGGTAGGACTGAGGCTATGTCATTTACAGCAAGAAGGAATAAAGTGGTACTAAGCACACTTCCTTGTGGGACGCCTTCGAATTGAGGAAAGGATGATGACGTGGAAGAGGCAATTTTGACCTGGAAAGTACGTTTAGAAAGGAAGGATTTGATGAAAACGCCCATATTTCCACGTAAACCTAAGGAGGACAATTGTTGGAAGATATGGTATCGCCATGTGGCATCATATGCTTTTTCTAGATCAAAGAATATGGCTAATACGGATTCATGGCGTGCAAATGCCGATGTAATGTATGTCTCGAAATGGGCAAGTGGGTCTGCTGTACTTCGGGCACGTCGGAAACCAAACTGGGAAGGGGAAAGGAGATTATGAGATTCAAGATACCACATTAAGCGGAAGTTAACCATTCGTTCTAGTAGTTGCACAAGCAGCTAGTTAGAGCGATGGGCGCAATCTTGGGGTAGGGTACCTGATTTATTGGGTTTTAAGAAAGGTAGGATAAGAGCATCTCGCCAATGAGAAGGAAAAATTCCTGACGTCCATATGTGGTTGAAAATAGTTAAAAGGAAGGATAGAGAGGAAAGAAGCATACGATAGTGAATACCATCAGGGCCTTCATGAGTGTTGCGGCACGACTGTAATGCAGCGTTGAGTTCAGAAGAAGAAAAAGGAGCATTATAGGACTCATCAGAGGATAGGGTGAAGGAAATAGGGGTGCGTTCCTTGATGGTTTTAATGGAAGAAAAGTGTGGGAAAAGGTGAGAGCCACTACTGACCTGGCTGAAAGAGTTGCCCAGTTCATTAGCTACTTCGACAGTTCAGAGATGAGAGTATCTCGCATATGGAGGACGGGTGCAGGATTGGGGGGGGGGGGGATGTTTGCCTGATAATTTATGGATCCGTCGCCAAACAGCTGAAATAGATGTAGAAGATGTAATTGATGAAACATAATTTTGCCAGCTATTTGTTTTGCTGTTTCTAATTGTACGGTGAAGATGGGCAGATGCCCTTTTAAAGGAAATAAGGGCTGATAGCTGGTGAGGGGTGCCTCGCTTGTAGCGATAGCCGTTCCAGGCTGCTCGTTTTAAGCGAAGCGCTTTGGTGCAATCAGAATTCCACCATGGAACACATTTAGAGGTATAAGGTCTTGAAGTTCGGAATGGCTATAGGCAGCTTTTAGGATCGTGGTTGTAAAACAATGTACATGTGTAGTTGAGATTGGGGTGTCTGGGTTTAGAGTGGCAAAGGAATTGGTCTGAGGGATGTAGAATGTAGAAGTGGAAATGGGGACATCTTGGGGTGGAGGGGGAGGGGCTGAGCGAACGATGTTACTAGAGTTTGGAGTATGAGAGAAACCTTGTCGACGTGCTTCCTGTCTGGCTTCACGTAAAGTGAGACCATTTTTGTATCTGAGAGTTGCTACCTCAGACAGCCTCTATAAAATACATTATGGGGGCCGCCGCAGTTAGCACATGTTCGTGTTTGTGCTGAGCAGTTTGATCGATTATGACCAGGTTGGGCACATATGGGGCATCGGTCTGTGGAACGGCAATGTTTGGCAGGATGTCTAAAGCGCCAACAGTTTTGACATTGACGGGGAGGGGGTTGTTATGGTCGAACAGGGAGGGATTGTCCACCGATGTAGATACGTAAGGGAAGGTCATGTGTACGGAAGGTAATTTTGGCAATGTTGGTCGGATTCTTTCGTTGACCTTTAGGAGGAATGGTGTAGCAATGTACTGATTTCACATCTTGGTCTTTGAGGCATCCTAATGTCTTCTCCACAGTCTGACCAATCTTTGGTATCGACTGGGCAGTTTGCTGGGGAGAGAGACAGTTCCGGTACAGGTATTAAGGGTTGGATGAGATTCTGCAGGAATGGGGTTGCCAGAATGATCAGTTAACTTTGATAGTGCTATAGATTCAGTTTCTGATCTGACTGTTACAAGACGGGAGCGATCGCGTCTGGTATAGAAAGGGACTCTGCCTACTTGGAGGCATTGTTGAAAGAGAAGTGTTGCCTGAGTAAGGAGCTGTAGAAGGGATCACGAAAAATCGGTCCCATTTAGCTGAGCTAAACAGAGTATTTAAGATATCTGTAGGGTTGGTGGTGGTGGATGGTCGGGGACGTGTGGAAGAGGGAGTATTACAGAATGATGGAGAATAAGGCTGCAAGGTAGTAATAAGGGAGGATTGGTTGTTTGTTGAAGGTTGCGGGGGTAGTTAATGAATTTGAGGAAGTTGGGTCGGTAGGAATGTCTTCTGGAGATTGATTCTCTGCTTGGGTGGGTAATGCACTAGTAGGCATTGAGGAGTGGGTAGTAGTTTGTGTTCGGAGCCGTGGTCAAAGGAGAGCCTGGGTTGGGGCTATTTGAAAAAGGGGCTAGCCTCATTGCCTCTAATAAAGGGATTATATTTTCATTACTGGTCATGGGGAACCTGGATTATATAAAAGGCATTAACTGGTCCACCTTCATCGCTAGTGAAAGGTAAGGGCTAAATTAGTCGGGAGTACCATGCCCATAGTTCCCGCAGGCCGTTCAGGACTGGCACAAGGTCAGCCTTTCATCCTCTCAGCACGGCTCTCACACCTTAGGAAGTAGATAGTAGAAGGGGATGGAGAAGGGATGGAAACATAAGCTGGAGGGGGAAAAGACCATGCAAAATTAGTTGAGTCGAGGGCTGAGGCCCTAGGCAGGGGAGATCCCTGCATTGGGTCTCAGTCTCCGTCTCCTAAGCCCCCCCACAACAACAACGGGCAAGGGATTGGGGGGGCTTTGCATGTTGTACTACTTCCAAGGTTCTGATTTTGAAAGTTAACATACACTTTCTATCTAAAAGCCTGAGAAAGTGAAAGCAGCATGGATTAAGTCATGGAAATCAAACAAGTCCATAAATCTCCATTTATTTCAGTTTTTTTTTTACATTGTCACACAATACTTATGTGTTGAGGGCTGAC